TTTGGACCGTTTATGAAAGAACACATACTAGAGTTCCATAAGATGAGAAATCATGAGTGGGTTGTAATCTTCACCTCTAACTGAATCTGTACAATCGAAAGTGTAGCTCAATTGAGGTACTGAGGTGCCAGAAGGAGGAGTGGGGGGGCCGTGTTTCTCCCTCCTTTTGTATTTCAGATATTTTGTCCTGGTCCTTCCCATCAAGGACAATATTCCATTTGGACTATAAGATCTAGGGGAAGATTATAAGCCTAGACAGCTGTCTCTTTTAAAATATTTATTTATTTTAACATGCTTTTCTTTTTGAACTTTGAGTTCCAGATTCTCTCCTACAGTCCCACCCTTCCCCCATTCACTGAGAAGGCAAGCAAAATGACAGCAATTATATGTGCAAAATCATGCAATATACTCCCACATTAACCATATCATAAAAAAACACAAAAAATTAAGTGAGAAAATTATACTTCAATTTGCGCCCAGTTCATCAGTTCTCACTCTAGAGGTAGATAGCATTTTTTCATCCCGAGTCCTTTGGAATTGTCTTAAATCATTACAGATCAGAGTGGCCGAGTTTTTCACAGTTGGTTATTATTACAACATTGCTGTTACTGTGCACAGTGATTTCCCCTTTCTTATTTCTTTTTGCATCAGTTCATATGTGCCTTGCCATGTGTTTTCTAAAACCATCCCCCTTATCATTTCTTATAGCACAATAATACTCCATAATCATAAAACAAAACTTCCCCAATTGATGGGCATCTCCTCAGTTTCCAATTCTTTGTCACCACAAAGTGACTTCTTACAAAGATTTCTGTATGTATAGATCCTTTTCCTTTTTCTTTGATCTCTTTAGGATACAGATCTAGTAGTGGTATTTCTGGATCAAAAGATATTCACAGTTTTATAGCACTTTGGCCATAGAATGATGGGACCAGTTCAAAACTCTACCAACATTATATTAGTTTACCTGTTTTCATTCATCCCCTGCACCATTTGTCATTTCATGACAGGTGTGAGGTTGGTACTTCAGAGTTCTTTTAATTTGCATTTCTCTAATTGATAGTGATTTAAAACATTTTTCATATGAATAGATAGTTTTCATTTCTTCTTCCCTCTTTGAATCAATTCCAGTAAGAGTGAGTTCCAAGCATTGCCAGCCACCACCACCCATTTTCCCCTCTGCTATAACAGCTCTTCCTTACATGCCCCTTTTATGTGAGAAAACTTTCCCTATTCTCTCTTCTCCCTTCTCCCAGTACATCCCTCTTTCTCACCCTTTCATTATTATTATTATGGAGATCATTGCAACATAATTGACTCACACTTGCTCTCTGTTGATGTAGAAGCCTAACTGTCTAAGAATTACAAAGTTCTTAGGAGTTATCCTTCAATAGAGGAATGTAAATAGTTTAACTTTATTGAATCCCTTGTGATTACTTTCATGTTTACCATTTTGTTTCTCTTGAGTCATATGTTTTAATGTAAGATTTTCTATTCAACTCTGGTCTTTTAATTAGGAATGATTGCAAGTCCTCTATTTCATTAAATATCCATTTTTCTCCATGAAGGATTAAATTCAATTTTGCTGGGTAGGTGATTTTTGGTTGTAATCCTAGCTTCTTTGAATTTGGACTATCATTTTCCAAGTGCTCTGCTCCTTTATTGTGACCAACCACAAATGCTCTTCTCCGCCCTGGAACTATGTATGGATGGTAGAGTTGCCAATCAACGCCAGCTGTACCGTGTGCTAGAAAAGGGTCCCCTATGATCCCTTTCTGACTAATTGTTTAACCCATTTAATGTCTTTGGGCTGAGAGCTCCTGAAGCTGCTGCTGCCACTGTCAGTTGTTATAGCTTGTGTGATTCTGATTATGGCTCCACAATATTTGAATTGTTTCTTTCTAGTTGCAATATTTTCTCCTTAACATGAGAGCTCTGGAATTTTACTATAATATTCCTGGGAGTTTTCCTTTTGGGATCTCTTTCAGGAGATAATTGGTAAATTCTTTCAACTGCTATTTAACCTCTGGATAAAAGATACCAAGGCAGGAAATCTCTTGAAAGAGGCTGTTTAGGTGCTGTCTCTTTTTTTTTAATCGTGACTTTCAGGTAATCCAATAAGTCTTATATTATCTCTCTTTCCTCTATTTTCCAGATGAGTTGTTTATCTGAAGAGGTATTCCACATTTTCTTCTAGTTTTTCATTCTTTTGAATTTATTTGATTGTTTCTTCATGCCTCATGTGGTCATTAGCTTCTACTCATCCAGTTCTAATTTTTAACGGATTCTATTCTTAAATGAATTTTTGTACCTCTTTTTCCATGTGGCCTATTCTGCCTTTTAAGGAGTCCTTTCTTTAGTGAATTTTTGTGCTTATTTTACCTTGAGGCTAATTCTGTTTTTTAAGATATTAATTTCTTCAGTATTTTTGTGTGTATGTGTTTTTTAACCAAGCTATTCTCTTTTCATAATTTTCTTGTATCGCTCTCTTTTCTTTTCCCAATTTGTCCTCTACCAGTCTTATTTCTTTCATTAACTTTTCTAGGAATTCTTTTTGTGCTTGGTTCCAATTTGGCTTTTTATGTTCAAGTTCTTTTGTTGTTTGCTCATTTTTTTTCAAGCCTCCATCTTGACTTTGAACTTAAATTAAAGTTGTGCTCTGCTTCCCTGTGGATGGAGAGGCGCTATCCTATTCTTCAGGCTTTTTTAGTGCTGCCTCTTTTCAGAGCTACTTCTGGGAGTCTGAAAGTTTTCCATCGTTCTGAGGTGCTGTGATCTAAGGAGAGGTGTTGTTATTGTTCGTCTGATCTATACTCTGGCCTTTACCCAGAAAGGGCCCCTTCTCTCCAATAGCCACAAGTGCTAGTGCTCCCCTTGACTGTGGGATTAAAACCAGGTCTCCTACTTTCCTACAACCATAAGCATTAGTGCTCCTTTCTACCTTGCAACTGCAACCCAGCCCCCTGCTTCCTTGTGACCAACCACAAATGCTCTTCTCCACCCTGGAACTATGTATGGATGGTAGAGTTGCCAATCAACGCCAGCTGTACCCTGTGCTAGAAAAGGGTCCCCTATGATCCCTTTCTGACTAATTGTTTAACCCATTTAATGTCTTTGGGCTGAGAGCTCCTGAAGCTGCTGCTGTCACTGTCACGGATGTTTCCAAGGCCCACTGTTAGTACTGCCACCCTACTGTCTGGGCTGGCTCCCACCCTAGCCTTCGTGCTGAAGTCTTAAAGTTGTCTCATGCTAGAAAAATGTCTCATGCTGACTTTTTGTTGGCTCTGACACTCAAAAATTTGATTTGAGGAGTTATTTTAAAGTTGTTAGAAGATGAATGCTGGGAAATTGTGGCTGGGTTACTGCCTGTTCTCTTCCATCTTGTGTCTGTTTTTGTCCCTCCCCACCCCCATAACTATTTTACTTTTCATAGATAAGAATATCTTTCTTCTTTTCTCTTCATTTCTAATACAAGTGACATCCAGTCTTACAGAGCAGACAAAATAAAACTGCAAGAATACTTTTTTTAACTAGATGCTTTTCAAGTTAATGTCTCTTTAAACCATTCCAGTTTCATAGTATTGTTTAAAATTTTGCATTAATGATTTTCCTTCTAATAGTTTTAAATTAATATAGATTTCATTAGAGTTATTGGCTTCTCAAGACTATACAAGGACCTCCATTTGCGCAATTCTCAAAAAGCTATTTGTACATCAATTTTGGAAAATTCAAATCATATTTTAAATTCCGTAGTAGGGATTGCATAATGATTTTACAACATTTATGACTGATCCTTTTGTTAGGATTCCCATGATAATGACAATAATATAGACAACCATTAAGGTTTGTGAAAAAGTTCTCTGCAAATATTATTCTTCTCAACAACCCTAGGAAGTAATTGTTCTTATTATCCCCATTGTGCAGATAAGGAAATTTTGAGGCTGAGGGATGTTAAGTGACTTGCCCAGGGTCACACAGCTAATAATTGTTAAAGGCCAAATTTGAACTCAGGTCTCTTTGGTAGTAAGGCCAAGGCGCTACATACTGCATCACTTAAATACCTCAGGGCTTCTTGACTCCAAATTCATCACTCTATCCATTATCTCACTTAGCTAGAGCCAAACTTTACCCCTGGTTAGTGAGTGGTAGCTTATGTAGAAAGGATTTTTGTTTTCCTGAGGGGTGAGAGAAGGAATTGAATTTTCCAATACTGCATTCAAACAACTTTCTAAGACTTAGGTTGCAGAGTAACTGTTGGTATGATCACTATAGGGAGTTTACTCCTCTCTGAGTTCCTTGTACCATTAACATTACAAGGCTGTTCCCTATAAGTCTCCTTCCCCTGAAAAATAAAATAGAAAAAGAAAAACATATGATTTATCCTCTGGAGGAGTTAGGCATTTGAAGACGTTAGCTAACCTACCCAGTCGTTCCTCCTGGCAGTGCCAGAGCATTATTTCCAAAATAGTTCCCAGTGGTTTAAAATAGTTGACATCTTAGAGAGGTGTGCTTATATAAACAAATTGAAGTGGATTGTTGAACACTTAATTAATTATCATGCTCAGCCAATCTGGATAAGTTAATCTTGAGAGAGAGGGGAAAAATCTAAAAATCCTAAAACTATTTTCCTCTGTCAGTGGCAGAATATTAGATGTAAGGATTGCTTTCCTCAAATCCCCCCTTACCTTTTGCTTCTTTACATATATCCTAAATGTTTACTATAGCCCCAGGGTTAAGTGTTTGTGTCTGGAGAAAATCTACTTGGAAAAAAATGCCACTTTAAACTGACATTTAGCATTTTGGGTACGCTTTGAAACGTGTTCTGATTAAATACTTGCTTATCTTATAAAAATATAGACTTTATGAAGCATTTTCCAATTTTTTAAATATGTAACATGTTTAAAGTTGACTTGATAATGAAAATTTATCTTTCCTGATTTAAATATGAAAGCAATGAAGACAGAAAAAGTAAAAAAAAAATGATGAAATTTATTTTACAGATGGCAGCTCAATGGAAGTGACATTGACCTAAGTATGGAATATCGTTATAAACTCAGTGGAGGAAATCTTGTGGTGATTAATCCGAACAGAAATCGAGACACTGGTACTTATCAATGTTTTGCATCAAATTCTCTTGGAACAGTGGTCAGTAAAGAAGCAAAACTCCAGTTTGCCTGTAAGTTGAAACTCATAACCTATTGAAAGAAGAGTGATAGAGTATGTATAGTAATTTTCCATTTCTTGAGAAAAAATATATGGGGTATTATAACATGTGTCTCTCACTCGTAACTTGATAAGAAAAGAATATTGACAGTGACCCTGGAATATATTATAAAACATTGTCAAAAAAATATTGACAATGATCTCGGAATATATCATAAAGGTCTCATAAAATGGGTCAAAGTAAAACTTGGTCTTCTTTTTTTCTTGTTGATTTGTTTGGAAATTGTGTTTGTGAACAATTAAGTTCAATGCAACAAGTGTTATTAAGCAACTACTATGTGTCAGAAAATGTTTAAACACCAGCCATACAAAAACCAAAATCAGACTGTTGTCCTTCCCTTGAGGAACTTATACTTTATTGGAATTTAAAAGAATTAAAAGAAATTAAAGCCAAGGTACTAGCCATTCTCCTAGATGTATTGGAAGACAGAGCAGCATTTATGATCTGATCAGGGAACAAAACCAACAGGGGAGAAATTATTAGAGAATAATAAACACCTATATAACAAAAGTAAGAAAATAAATTCGGCTTAGTTAAGGTTAGGAAGGAAAAGGGTAAAGCAGGAGATAGAGAGAAAAATAGAAAAGACTGGTTTATTGTCTTGATGCTTAGAAAGTGATTTCAGTTATCTCTGAGGGATTATTCTCTAGCTGCCTTAATATGACCATAAGAGCCTACTCTTTAGCACAAGTAGAGTTATTTTTTATTTTATTTTATTTTTTTAACCTGTCAGGTTTCACCAAGCTATATGATAGGGATGGTTAGAAGAAGAGAAAGTTTTAGAGCAAAAGATGAGTTCTATTTTGGATATATTTGTTTGAAATGCCTATGGGATATCTAGTTTGAAATATCCAGTAGACAGTTGGAGATAGACAGTGGAGATCAGGAAAGAGTCTAGGGCTGAGATATACAGATCTGGGAGTCGTCAGCACAGTGATGATAATTAAATGCGTGGGAGATGAGGAGATCACACAGAGTAAAGAGAGAAAAGAGAAGAAGTCCAGAACAGTCTAAGGGTAAATTTATAGTTAGTGGGCATAAAATAACTTAGGATCCAGCAAAAGAGCCTGAGAAAAAGCAGTCAGGTAGGTAGAATAGACAATAGCTAAAAGTATATGAAAACTCAGAGAGGAGCTAAATATCCAGTTGAAGAGGGTGGTACACAGTGTCAAGTGCTCCAGAAAAAGTAAAGAAGGAAAGTTTCAATTCAGTTCAATAAACATTTATTAAGCACCTTCTTTGTGACAGGGCAGCTAGGTGACACAGTGGATAGTGCCTGAAGTCAGGAAGACTTATCATCCTGAGTTCAAATGTGGCCTCAGACACTTACTAGCTGTGTGACTTTGGGCAAGTCAATTAATCCTGTTTGACTCAGTTTCTTCATCTGTAAAATGAACTGGAGAAGGAAATGGCAAACCACTCTAGTATCTTCTCCAAGAAAACCCCAAATGCGATCACGAAGAGACTGAAACAACGGAAAGCAGCTGAAAAACAATAACTTTGTGCCAGGCACCATGCTAAGTGCTAAGAATATAAGTAAGAAAAAAAGATAGTTTCTTCCCTCAAGGAACTTATAATTTAATGGGGGAAAACAACATGCAAAAGGAAGCTGAAAATTAAGGTTTGTGACATTGGGGACATGCTTTTCCATGGAGTAGAAGACAAACAGATCTGTTGATGGAGATGACAATTAGAAAAAGATCATTAGATTTGGAACTGAGAGATCATTGTAACTTTGCAGAGAGTACATTCAGTTGTAAGATGAAGTAAAAAGACCGAAGACAAAATATGTGTAAATAGCTTTTTTTCTAGCAATTTAACTGAGAAAGAGAGAAAAGACTTAACATGATATATAGCAGGGATAGTAACATCTATTGAGGTTTATTATTTTTTTTAAAGAATGGAGAAACCTAAACAGGGAAGGAATCAGTGGATGGGGAGAAGTGAAGATCAGTATATGGGATAATATTCAATGCACATGTCTTACAAATCTGGATCTCAGAAGAGATAGCAGAAATCCTACTCAACAAAACATTGCAGGCTTAAGTTTGCTTTTACATTTATTAGCAGTCTCCCTAATTACCAGTTAGTTACTGGCTTGCCCACAAAAACAAATCAGTGTTGGAGAGAGGAAAGAGAACTGACCCTGTTGTCATTGGATCTCTATTCAAGTCCTACAAGTGGTACTTACTGCCACTGTGGCCTTAAGCAAATGTCAGCCTCCCTGGGCTTCAAACAAAATGAGGGTCCTGGGCTAGGTCACCTGAGATCCTTTCCATCTCTAAGTCTATAGTTCTATGACCCAACTACAGGAGATGTGTTGACATGGCCATTGAAAAATACCGAGGTAAACCTTTATATCCTTTAAAAGTTTCTACTACCAACTAAAAGTTGATATGTAATAAGTATTTATTTGCATGAGATGTTAGCGTCTCATTAAGTTGTACTGCAAACCATTTTCTATTATTTCAATATTTTTCTTCATTATTTATGTCTTTAAAAGTCAATTAGCTTCCCTCAGTAGTGGGTAAACGTTGACTTTATAGCTTTGGAAAATTATGTTTATAGCCTTCTTAGCCTAATACATTGCACTCAGCGGTATTGAAAAGGTTGAATGGAATTAGTTGGAAAGAGTTGATGAAGTTTACACAAATGTTAAAATACCTAGGAGCCCAAGTCCCAGATTAGCTGGGTGTTTCTGTAAAAAGAAAAATTACCGAGGTCTAATTAGCAAAATTGTTGTAGCATAATCAGTGAGAGCCTCTCTCGATGAGCAGCTCGAGGCAGTGTGATTTCTCATAACTTAGTAGTAAATTTCATCTTTGAACATAAGTGACTTTGATGAAGTTCAAAGCTGTTCTGTTCTGATGATCTAAAAACATTTTTCTTTAAAAACTTGATACATCTTTAAATCATTTTCCCATTCATGCTTAATGACCAACAAAACTTTTATCGAATACTCATACTTTTTGTTTAAATCAAAAAGAAAATTTGGTTTTGATGAATGCAAAAGAATATAATGATATGCTGCTATTGAAACCATGACCATGCCTGAGCACTTTCTCAGACCATTGGTTTTATGCTTTAATGTAGGAACATACTAAATATATGGTTATGTGTCTTGTGCTACTGAAAAACTGGTTTGGTTAATGGGATCATTGAGGTTTGTTTTAATAGAGAAGCGCTACAGGAGTAATTTACTCCAAAGGCTATCATGGAAAAACAACTCTCTGTCATTGTGTTCCTGAAATTGGGATGATTATCTAATTACCTGCCACATTCCCATACATGTGATACATTTGCTGATTTCTAAAATATGTTTCAAGTGATTTATAAACTTTAGAAAATTATACAAAAAAATTAGTTGTTATTCTCCTCTGTATTTTTTATTAAGTGGAGTTCAGATAGAAAGACTGAGACAAGTCACTCTTTTATGCTTAATGTTCCATGGACTATTGCATAGGTGAATACAATGATTGCTTTACATAATTGAATGAAAGCATTGAGACACAAAGGCATCTTAAGTAAGCTGAGCAAATGCATCTTTGGGATATTTCCAATAGAAGATAGGAGGGCAGGGATGATATGTACTTAATCATGTTGATTTCTTTGAGTGCTTTTCACTTCATGTTGTTTAGAGATTGAGTTTGATATGGTGATATCTAATATAAATAGTAAATACTATTAGTGGTAGGGGAAAGAGCATTCCCAGAGAACTGAGGTGTAATGATAGGAAGAGAAAAGGACTAGACCCTCTTGGTAGAAGGTGGAAATCTGAAAGGGTCCATCACTGTATGTCTGTGTGATGTCTTGTCCCTTCCTGATATGTTTCTAACACCTCCTTATACTAGGATTCAAATGAAGTTTTACTTAATCAATACCTCCCTGCAGTAAAAAACTTACATTAGCCTTTAAACTTGATTTTTTTCCCCTTCAATTCTGATGATCGTTAACTGAGACAACTTGTCTCAGTCTCCCTGAGCCTCAGTTGCCTCACCTGCAGAATGAAATATAAACACACACACACACACACACACACACACACACACACACACACACAAAACCATACGAGCTTTCAGTTTTCTTTCAGCTCTAAAAATTCTGTGGTTCTCCAACTGAACATGGAAGATTAGACAAAATGTCAGCTCTTCCATGAAGGCTAGATTGCTACCATACAAGGCTCAAAAATACTGAATTGACTGGGGAAAAAAATATTAGTTCTTAGTGAAAATTTGCTCCAAAACGTACAGTGGAAGATCTACTACTGTCATGGTGCTTTGAGCCATTCCCTGCCTCCAGGTAATATTTATTTATTTATTTTTGAGTCTGAGAACTAAAAGACAAGTTTGGAGAGTGTGATTTTGTGAGGTGGTATAATTCACAATCTTGATCATCTTTAGATCCCTCCAAGATGAATAATCTAAAAGCGAGAGTCAGGGCTCTTACAGGCCTTTACATGTTACACTTATTGAAAGTGACGATGTTTTTCTAACCAGAGGATCTTCACTCCTGAAAGTCCCCAGAAATCCCTTTCCATTTTGTGAAATGTGAACCTAGATATAGATCTGATCAAGTTGAGAGTGTTTCTTTCACTCTTTTTCTTTTCAATTTTTTTTGCATTGCTTTTAATTGTGTTTTTCATTCAAACTGGCTTTATGGAGAGGTGCTTTTTATCAGTTCTAGATCAAAATATTCAAATGACACTTATATGCAGTTTGTGGTTTTAGTTTTGTTACCTGCTGGATACCCAATAAGTTCAAATGATTGAGTATAATGATCTGATTTGTGTACACATAGAGATATTTCTTTTTTTTCTTTTAAAATTTTTTTGAATCCATTTGTGGTTTCATCAGTATTGAAAATTGAGAAAATCTTATTGATTTTATTTTGTTATTGATTTTAGTCTGTATTACTGCCAACATTTTTGTAATTGTCATGTTTCATTTTTCTCA